GAAAAAGCCAGAATAAATTACCTGATTCATGTCTATGGTTTGCAGGGCTTCACACGGGTGAAATGATGGCATGGTCTGATTTTCAGGCTTCCTTCACAATCTCTGTTGGAGGACCAGGAAGCTTGATACGGTAAATTTCCTAGCAAGGTAGGAAACAATCCAGCATTATAAGCTGCCTTGATAAATCAATCATGTGTGATATGTTATGAGCAGGCATGAAAACAGCAAATGGAGATCCATCTGTAGACAAAGAAATGTACTAGACATTGGTAGGATAACTTATATATCTTCCTCATACAAAGGCAGACATTGCATATGTCCTGAGCGTGGTTAGCCAATTTATGCATAGGCAAGAGAAGTTTACTTTCAATAGTTTACATAATAATATATTATCAAAAGGCTAGTCCTAAAAAAAGGAATTCTGTTCAAAGAAACATCGGGATTAGTTTACAGTATAATGCAGGTTAATCAGTTGATAGACAATCTACTATAGGTTATTGTACTTTCCTTCGAAGCAGTCTTATAACATGGAGGAGTAAGAAGTTGAATCTGATTGCTATATCTAGCATAGACAGAGTTCAGTTTGATGGCAAAAGGAGTGTGTGTACTATTATGTCTTAAGATAATTTTAACAGATATAAGGATCAGATGAGGACAAATAAAATTACTTGCGACAACAAGTCTACTGTTAACATAGCTTACAATCCTGTATAACATGACAGTACGAAGAATAGATAAAGCACTTCATAAAGGAAAAGTTGGATAGTGGATCGATTAGTGCTCCTTACATCTCAATTAATTATCAACTTGCAGATCTACAAACAAAAGGACTCAGTAGTTCAATGTTTTTAGAACTTATCTTCAATCTCATAAAGGGAGAAGCATAATCACCAGTTTGAGGGGAGGGTGTTGGAGAATCCCCCAATCTTCTATTCTAACATTGGGAAATAAATCTTCCTATAATTATGGGATACCAGTTAGGGAGTCCTACTAATATGGAGATTTGATTTGATTTGCTGGGATTAATTTTCCATTTTTTCTCTTTGTAAAAGCTACATATACCCATGTATGCCTCCTTAATATACAATTCATTCAGTTTCTCCCTAAATTCCACAATAATTTTAGTATTTTAGCACTCAAATCCTTTCTAAAGACAGATCCTAAAATAGAATTTGAGTACATCGATATTTCTTGAGTATTGAAGTTTACAAAAGGTTGAAAGAATTTCTCAAGGAAAGTATGTTATTCTTTTATGGAAAAAAAGGAATATTAAGAGCTATAGCTTGTAGTCTCCACTGGTTACTAATCTGGGACTGACAGTAAAGATACTGAACATTGGTTGAAAAATTGACCAATCTTACAGCAACCTGACATTTGCCTGTACAGTATTGTGAGACAATTCATGTCTTCTCCACGAGTTATTAGGATATAATTGACTAGCATGGAAAAATGTTCTTGATGTTAAGTTCCTCCAAAAGATTGTCTCCATCTACTGCAGAGTTAAAATCAATTCATCTGTTTTCTTGATTTTAAATTCTTCCATAAGTTTATATGAGAAATCATAGTGCGGCCACCTCCCTCTCCCCTCTCTCTCTCCCTCATAGAGCAGTTGGCTGAGCATATATATATATACATTTACATGTATATATAGAGAAAGCAGTTTGGAAGAGAAATGATGCTTCTTTTTTTGCGTCAGAAGTTATGTTGGAAAGGATCCTCAACATTGTGAAGCTTAAAGAAATGGGGTAAAATTCCTTTTTTCTTCAGACAAAAAGGAGCAAAAGTCTCGTGAAACCCTTGTCACATCCTTATGTGGTGTACTTCGAAAAACTAAGGAATGTGTCTTTAGCAATAATGGGTATGATTTGTGGGCAGTAGCTGGGTTGGTGGTTAAAGAGCTTTTAGCTTGAGAAGGTACGCAGGTGAATAAAATCATGTAGAGGGTGATAGCTCTGCAGCCATTGTCCATTTTCTGTCTAACTTGGAGAGATATGAGGACCTTTGAAAGGGAAAAGACCATTTTTGGTAGAGCTAGGGACTTCTAGCTTCAATAGCCTATAAATAAATGGGACAAAGCTTTGAATTTTTAAGCAGTAAAAACTGCACTGACTACTAAAAGGTTAGGAATTCTATTGATGATAAAGAATATTTACAACATATCATGTGTGCTTACATATATATATATATATATATATATATTTCACATTAGAAAAATCAGCAATATAACAGTTTGACAACAAGTAATAGCATGTTCTAATAGTCACATTTGTAATAAAGACATTAAGAAGGATAACCATGCTTTTAGGTGTTGAAGGAAAGGGAAAAGAAAAAGTTAAACCAAAATGAAATGAAAGAATCTACATAAAAGTAGTTACTACCATATTATGAAGAGAAGGCATATAATGAGTTTCAGAGAAAGCTCTTCATTGTTCTACTTTAAAATATATAGAAAATAACCCAGTATGGCATTTTGAGAAAACATAAGGTCTGAAACTCCAACCAACAAAAATTTGCAATATAGACAAATGACTTCCATGCAAACAGTTTGCACATTCAACTAGTATTAATTAGCCATACCTCATCTAACTTTTCACCTCCTTTGAGAAGAACAGAGTAAAAAGCTTTCTGAGGTTTCCCGTTCACTGTCTCCTCTACTTCGTCTATATAAGCAATGCGTAGAGATGGATACCTATACAATTTTTACACTCTTAAAGAATAGAAATATTAGAGAATAATAAGGTATTTCTCATATAGATTTTCCATATATAGTAAATGTCATATATATTTAGCTCAATTCTTAATTGCCCTTTTCTTATTCCTTGGTATCACTATAAACATGATGGCCTGCTCCCTCAACATGATAACAAGAAAAATGTTTCAGTTTAAGCTCTCACATGCTCTCAAAAAATCAAATTATGGGATTCAGTACCCTATTCAACTTTTGTTCTCACCACCACTCTTTCAACTACCTGTCCATCAACTATGAAAAAAAAAACATACAGCCTAGTTTCTGTTAATTTACAAAACATACTAATCTTAACTAAGTTTTTTTTAAAAAAAAAAAGAAAAAGAAAAAGAAATTAACGAAAAATAACATTTGCCAGTTATTTTCTGTTTCTTTTTGCATTTAGTTTGAGTATTTCCTGTAAAAAAAATCTTATTCCATATCTTCATGTTTGTTAAAAACAAAAACAAAAGAAAAATAAAAAATCAGCCTGTTAGAAACCTTCAATGTGTAAAACCTTAGGGGAGTGAAAAAATTGAGTTCATACATTATCTTTCCAGCATACTGATCATAGAATCTGAAGTGGTGACATTGTGCAATTCCCTGCCACAGGTTCAATTACCGTCCAATGTCTCATGCACCTCTGTTCACTAATATGTGAAGCTCACACACCCTATCATCTCCAATTATTAGATCTGGCATGTTTTGACCCAGCATAAGGTTGTCTGTTTTCTAGGCATTTATTATTTTGGTCATCTATCTAGGGAGATTTTCGACTGTGTAGTTCAAGTCTATGTTTGCTGAATACTACAAGTTCTTGGTTCAACTCATTTGGGGAGATGATTTTGTGGAACTCACCAATTTTGTTCCAAGGAGTTAGTTCAGTTCATTAAACTATAAGTTCTCTACTTCAAGTTTTTTACTTACTAGAATTTATTTGTGACAGTTTTCGGCTAATTCAAGCTTCTTGAGGGACTGAAAGAGTGGAAAAATTTCCTACATAGTCTATTAGAGAAGAATAGCCTATTTTCTATATAGCTGTTTCCTACAAAGTCAATGTCCTAGAATGTTGGTTCTATTCTTATTTTTCATTTCCTAGGTATCCCCATAAATATAACTTTCTGTTCCTTTAACCAAGTAGCGAGAAGAATATTTCAGTTTATTTTCCAGCATGTGTATTTAAAAGGTGCCAAAAGTCTTCAATTCACGAAAGAAACCCAGAAAATTGTTTTAGGCAATAATTTTGACTTACTGCAGCATGAGTTGTAGGATGTTATTATAACAACTTCGGTCACGACTATCACTCGACTTTTTCTGCTTGCCATAGACCTGACAAGAGACAACATATGTGAACTTCAAATCTGCCAGGGCACGTGCTCGATTGATGAAAGCCTGTTCATCCTCATGTGACTCCATGTTTAGGTTGTCACCTGATATAGCTGCAAGGAAAAGATTGCACAATTTTAAAACAAGAAAAACGGGTTTGACCTCCCATCTTTTTAATGTCTTAGAAACAATTGATTCATATGGAGAAAGAAGTTAGTTAAGAATATCTAGGACAGAAAGCAAATATTATTTTCACCTTCAGACTCCTGGGAACATTGAAGTTCTAGAGCCTGTCTATAATACATCATTCCTCTCACTGGCAGTAGAAAACATATGAAACAAAAATAAATTTGGTGAATATCCACAAGAGAAGCTAATACACAATAGACTGCATAAATTAATCAGCACCAACACCTGTTCTGGCAAGTGTTTGTCCTCTGTAAGATACCCATTGACGAGTGAACTCTAACTTCTCTTTCTCAGAATACTCAAGTTTAGGATCATTTATGCGATCCTGGAAATTGGTCCATTCATCTAGTATGCAGTCGTTTACAGTTAGTAAGTTCATATTTATTTAAAAATAAAGTATACCATGGTAACGAATCAAAAACTCACCAGGGGTACATCTTCTGTAGGTAAAACAGAAATAATACTGTTTATTTCAAAAACAAAATTGTAACTAATTCAAAACTCACCAGGGTATATTTTCTGTAGATAAAACAGAATCGATATTCCATCCTCATTTTCCCTATTAAGTTCCTCATCAGAATAAAGAACTTCTTCGTTGTAATAAGGAGTCAGAACACTAAGCCAAAAACATAACAGAAATTTATGTTAGATGAACCAGAAGATCATTATAAACTGACATCAATTTCCTGTTATTTTATTTCTAAACAGAAAATTCAAACATAACATTTTGAACTTAAAAAAGAAAAAAAAAAAAAAGTAGATACTCCATAACAAATTTATACTTGCCTAAAGGAGAGCATATCACGGACTCTTGGTGCTTTTGGCATATTCATAAATAAGGAGTTTGCAAAGAAAGTAATACGACGGCGGGCATCCAAGTTTGGGGGTATATTTATGGCAGATTCTTTGACAGTCAAAAGCAAACGAAGCCTTACAACCTGTAAAGAAATGTAGAGTACCATTATATATATATATATATATATATATATATCTCAACATATAGTAATTTATACGAGCCTGAAATAACAAGCATAGAAAATACCTTCTCCCTCCAAGAATCAATCTCCATAATGGAAATATTTATCTTCTCAAACCTTTGTTCTTTCTTGTCATTTTGCGTATCACGATCATGCATGCGAGCTTTTTCATAGATTCTGAGAGAAAATAGGAGAACCCATAGCATAAATCACTCAACAGCTCATTAGCATTAAAGCATAACATATCTTACATTTTTTTCATCAATTATGTATTCCAGCACTTACTCATGGCCATTAACCATAACATCCTTCGTGATAATTTCCATAATATCCTGGAGAACATTGATTATCTGAGCCCTGTACGTCTCATCATCATCATATTCACCTAGCTGTCAAAATAATGACATTAGTATTTGGCAAAATAAAGTATTTCTAGACCTATAATTTAGCTTTTAAAGTCCACAGAAGGAAGAAAAAGAAGAGATAAAAATGAGAAAGAACGAAATATAGAAAAATCAGATCACCAGGTCATTCAGAAACTTCTCCAATTTAAGACTCAGCAAAGGCATCCCACTCATCCGAAATTCATTTAAGAATCTATTCTGTTGTATGCTCAAGTCTACTTCATAACAAATCTGCCTTACAATCCTATTTACAAGAGGAGAAAACCAAATAGTCAGAAAGCTTCCCAATTCTGTTTTAATCATAAAAGATGGTAACTCTCTGCAGTACAGTTAAAGTTCAATTTGCAGATCAAATGGATAAAGGAATCTCTTCCTCACATTCTATCTGCTTCATCTTCAAGAAGACCGTGTATTATGTCCCTTAATGTCTCATAGCACTCAATAACTGCATGATGCATATAGTTGTCACTTTCAATCTTCCTAAACAAATCAGCATCCTCCTTCCCCTTAAAATCTTTTGCCATATCTAATGCAATAGGAATCTGTCATAGAGCAGAAGTAGAAATATAAATTAAGCTGCACTGGTATTCAATTTTGTGTCTAACAGGAGTTTTCCTGAAAGCATTTACCTTGCTAGCAAGCAAGAAAGGTGGCCACTGGATAACAGACACATCACCAGAAGAAGATGGTACAAGCAACAAATCCCTATCCCTGCACAGAAAGTCAGGATAATCTTAGAACCATACACATGATGCACTTGAGGTATTAAGATGGATCACATAAGTAGTAGTTCCACCTGTCACTAATCAGATCCTCATTTCGCATAGACTTTATGAACTCATTCCACACCTGAGAAAAGTTTGCAATGTTCTTCCGTTCCACTGAATGATTCTGCCAGTGTTAAGTGTTAATTTGGCCAGAGAACTAGAAGATGAGAAAAAGTATGATTCTTTCTTGAATAGATTAATAGAAGAACCAAATATGTGGCCTTGATTTGCATTTTGGAAGTATATAAATTCCTGGCTAGAAGACACATCAGCTGAAGAAGATTCATTCAATTTAACACCAACTACACAAATTACCAAGTTTTTCCTTTTGCCATCTTCCTTTGACAATGGCATAAGAGAACAACTGAAAGCTGAAGGTACTGATTCAAATCTTGACCGTAACATTCCAAGTGTGCGAATCTGCAAGAAGCAAAAAGGTACTAAGCAATAAGAATCAGCAAATTCCAACTAAAAGAGATCCCAGGCATGTAAGAGAACTTCTATGTTCAATGGTAAAACCATATATGGTTTCATGGAATTAATATAAGTTGCTCCTGACATGCTTCTCTATGTTATGAGATAAACCAGACACTTACCTCACCCAAATGACTGAATGCCCCATGAATTCCACCAAAAAGAGTGGAAAATATAGCATACCATATTTGGGCATCCATAAAATAGACCTGCAAAAGATGAAAACTAATTTACTTTGAAGCATGCTGGTGCTAAAATTTAAACTATAGAATAACTGCATAATTTCAATGTGTCATCCTGTGAATTCCTCTATGATCCATCCACTCACCAACACAATTGGAGCCCATATTGCAATGACAACTCCAATATTGTAAGTTGCTACAACAGCAGCAAAAGGATGATTTAGTACCAGGAAAGAGCCACTTGCAATGAGCAGTTTGGAAAAGCATGAAAAATTACCATTTGGAAAGAACTCATGCCATTGATAGTCATCAACGTGCAAACCCATAATCACCTTTGTAGGTCCAACTAGTGGCAGTATCTATTAGCAAAATGTCAAAACAATATCTGTTAAGTGGAAATTCACATAACAAGAACAAGAGATCCTTCAAAAAGGTAAGGTACAAAAACTGGAACTGTACTGTTGGATATCAATAATTTTCCAACACAAAGATAGATGACACCACTTCCTTGATCCATGAAATTCAATCTCAACATACCAGTATCTAGTTGAGAGATATGAAGTTGTGAGGAACCCTTACATTTGCATCATTTCAATAAAACAAGCCAAAAAGGAAACCACCCAACAAAAACATTGATTGACTATGTTATCCCTGCCAAGATCATATTTACTGCTTTTTTTCCTACTATTTTAAAAAATTTCCTATGAACGCAAATGAATGCATTACCTATACACAGGTTTTAAACCTATTAGCTATGCATATGTCATTAGATCACTGGGAAAAGACACTTGTAGATAGAAATCATCAAGATCTGACAGAACCCTTTAGTTGATATCACCTTTAATGACAATGAACTAGAGAGTAAATTCACTTGCTGTCTTGTATATAGACTTTAATACATCTAAAGTACCATACGCATTCCATGATGATTTTCCTTTTCTTCAGAATCAATAAGCAGATAACAACAACCTAATTTCTACCATTAGGCTTCTAAATACAAATACTAGGAGTTAAACTCTATAT